AAAACGCCGGTTTCGTAACGACTCCAAAACCGAATGTCCAAACACAATGAAAACACGCATGGTTTCGCAACATCAGTTTTCAAACAAATCGCGCGTGCTCTTGCGAATTCTCAGGAAACGACAGCTGGATTGTTCAACGTGTTCTTGAACATCTGCCATAAACGGGCCTCGGGCTCCGCATGCCGACATAATTCACGCGCCGTTGCGCGCTTGCTGGGGGGGGCACGATCCGTGTCAAATAAAACAACGATGGCCAGTCTCGCGCGTCGGCCGCGCACGCATGTCGAACTTTTCCCAAACCTTCATCGCCAACGCGAGGGCGCCGTCATCGTCGTCGGCGCGATCAGCATCGGCGCCCGCACTGGCCGCGCCATCGTCGGAGCGAACATCGTCACCCGCATCGCTACTATCATCATCGTGTCTACCGTTGTCGGCGTTACCATGATATCGCGCCCGCCCAACTCGCCTACTCGCAGTGAAGTGGCTGCTGGGACGCGCCCAACGGTCAGCGCCACCGAGCCCGCGTCACCGGCGCCAAACTAGCTGACCGCTGCGCGCGCGTGATAGGGTTGGCGCGGCCGCAGAGATGCACCAGCCAACGCCAAGCATGAATCGCAGCCGCCACCGCACTGGCTTTGCAAACCAAACTGCGGGTGGGTGGGTGGGGTGCTTTCAAGGGCGTGGAATGCGTCAGCACGGTTGTTCAAACCAAGTGCACGACGTAGATTGCTCCACCTAGATTGCTCCACGTGGGTTGCACACCATCGACTGTTCAACATATGTTGCACCACGCACAATTGCCCACCATAGCTGCACAACGTACATCGCGCGCAACATGGCTGGCACCCCAAGCATTGCACCGCATTAATCGCCTCATACGCATTCCACCACAACGATAGATTGCACAACCTGTGTTCCCCTTCCCTAGAAAGAGAATAGACTCCCCCCCGGGATATCGGCCACATTTTGTCATTGCAACTTACACTCGGTTCTGCCCCATACCCTGCAAAGAAAATTACGCGCGCATGCGTATATCAAAAATCATATATGTTCAAGAACCCCTTGCAACACATGCAACGAAGTGAACGCGCGCACGTCGTCGCGCGCGCCTGCTGACATCATTCAACATCCTTTGATTTCGGAAGGATTGCAAAATCGACAATCAAAAACACATTAAAGCACATGAACTAGCAACGCGGATTTCCCCCCCCCCCAACATCAAACATCGCGCGCGCTCTTGCGAATTCTTGAGGAAGCCATGGGTTCCCCCGCATGTCCATAAAATGCTACCAAACGGGCTTCGCGCGCGCATTTCGGAATCGCTCGAACGCCCATGCGCGCGTGACGTCGCGAGAACCCTTTGCGCAAAAGACGATGTGCACGCGCGCGCGTCGTCGCGCGCGCGTGCCAAATTCCGCCAAACATATGCGTTGCCGTAACGATGTAACAACCGAGTGTCTATTCTTTTCTCTGCAAATATATAAACAGAAGCTGGTTCCCCAACAAGAGCGTTTAAAGAAGAGCGCGTTGCGCTCTTGCGAATCCTTGAACAGAAAACCATGCGTGTTCCAACATCACCATGGTATTATGCCAAAAAGGCCTTTCGCGCCTCACGCCGGGATCACTCGCGCGCCCTTGCGCGCGTGCTGGGGGGGTGGGGGGGCGCGATCCGCGTCGATGAATGCCGCGCGGGCCACTCTCGCGAGTCGGCCGCGCGCGCGTGTCGAACTGTTTCCAAACCTTTATCGCAAACGCGAGAGCGCCGTCATGGTCGTCGGCGTGGTCAGCATCAGCGCCCGCACTGGCCGCGCATTCGTCGGTGCGAGCATCGTCGCCAGCATCGCTACTATCATCATGTCCACCGTCGTCGGCTTTGCCATCTGAATGATATACCGCGCCCGCTCAAGTCGCCGACTCGCAGTGGAGTGCCCGTTGGGATGCGCCTAGCGGTCAGCGCCACCGCGCCCGCGTCGGTCGCGCCAATCAAGCTGACCGCTGCGCGCGCGTGCCAGGGCTGGCGCGGCCGCAAAGATGCACCAGCCAACGCCAAGCATGCATCGCAGCCGCCAACGCATGGGTTTTGCAAGCCAAGTTGCGGGTGGGCAGGTGGGATGTTTGCAAGTGCATGGGATGTCTCAACTCGTCTGTTAAAATGAATTGCACCACGTAGATTGCACCACGCCGTCGGCGCCACGTAGATTGCTCCACCCAGATTGCAACATCTATTGCGCATCGCACAGACTGCACCACATACACTGCTCCAGGCCTCGCCCCACAAGACACAACATAATTGACACAATATCGATTGCAACACATAGATTTTTCGTCCTAAACTTTACCCCCCTCCCCCTTGAGGACTGTCGCCACCACCTTTTCGCGTTGCAATTTACTTGTGTTTCTGCCCCGTCGTCCATCTTAAGTATGAACCCGCGCCATCCCAGCCAGGCCGATATCGACCCCCCCCCCGTCATCCTGCAAAAAAACACGAGGCGCGCGCGCTCGTTGACATATGTGTATATACATATATATATATATATATATATACATTCCTCTTTCTATAGTTTTACAAGCCCGGGGGCGGTGGGAAACCATCCCCCCCCCCAAAATGGACCCCCGGGATCTGGGGTTCTCGGGCTCCCTTGGACGTCCTTGGAAAAGGTCACCGGGCTTTCCGGGTCTCCACAAACGCCTTCCCAGCAGACCCAAAGCGATCCGAGGGGTCATCAGAAAAGGCTCAAGGGAGGCTCCAGACAGCACAAGAGCGCTCCACGAGGGACTCCAACTGCGTCAGGACGGCCCAGAAGGGCCCCCAAGGCACTCCAAAAAGCTTTCCAAGGGGCCTTCAAAGCACAAAAATCATCCCATTCCTTGTAAACGTACAATTTTTGCATACTCGCCTTTCGGATTTCATCAGCTTTCAAGACGGTTTCAAAGCCCCCGAGATCGCCTCCAGACGCCCCAAAAGGCCCCAAAGAAAGCTTCAAGACGGCCGAGTCGGGCCCCACGATCGCCCACGAGAGCCTCAAGAAGTGCCCAAGATGGGTCCAAAGGGGGCTCTAGCGGGCCCAAGCTCCCCAAGACGGCCCAAGAAGGCCCCAGGACGGCCCATGAAGGCGCCAAAACGGCCCACGAGGGCCCCGAAAACACCCCCACGATGTTTCGGGATGCCAACATAAAGACCCCCAACGCACCCCAAAAACCTTTCCAAGGGGCCTTCAAAACACAATAATCGTCCCATTCCCTTCGTAAAACTTACAATTTTAGCAGATTCGCCTTTCGGATTTCATCAGCTTTCAAGATGGTTTCAAAGCCCCCGAGATCGCCTCAAGACACCCCAAAAGGCCCCCAAGAAAGCTTCAAAACGGCCGAGCTGGGCCCCACGGTCGCCCACGAGAGCCCCAAGACAGCCCATAATGGAACCAAGAGGCCCCCCAAGGGCTCCCAGCACAGACCCAAAAGGGCCATGGGAGGTCCCCGGAAGTGCCCAAGATGGGTCCAAAGAGGACTCCAGCGGGCCCAAGCTCCCCAAGACGGCCCAAGAAGGCCCCAGGACGGCCCATGAAGGCGCCAAAACGGCCCACGAGGGCCCCGAAAACACCTTCACGATGTTTCCGGATGCCAACATAAAGACCCCCAACGCACCCCAAAAAGCTTTCCAAGGGGCCTTCAAAAATACAATAATCGTCCCATTCCCTGCGTAAAACGTACAATTTTTGCATATTCGCCTTTCAGATTTCATCAGCTTTCAAAACGGTTTCAAAGCCCCCGAGATCGCCTCAAGACGCTCCGCCCCCAAGAAAGCTTCAAAACAGCTGAGCTGGGCCCCACGATCGCCCACGAGAGCCCCAAGACAGCCCATAATGGAACCAAGAGGCCCCCCAAGGGCTCCCAGCACAGACCCAAAAGGGCCAAGGGAGGTCCCCGGAAGTGCCCAAGATGGGTCCAAAGGGGGCCCCAGCGGGCCCAAGCTCCCCAAGACGGCCCAAGAAGGCCCCAGGACGGCCCATGAAGGCGCCAAAACGGCCCACGAGGGCCCCGAAAACAACCCCAAACGAGGAGGGGGAGGAGGAAGAGGGAGTCATCAGATCCGCTTCGCCAGGGTATGCTCACAACTCCCACCTCGGAAACGCTTTGCCTCGCAGTGGTCCCGCCATTTTCGCCTGAGACATCCTCGCAACTCTGGAGTCCGAGACGCCCTGGCCTGAGGTGTTCAGGCCAATTTCGCCTGAGACTGTCTCGCAAGTCTGACTTCGGAGGTGCCCTGCACCATGGTGGTTAGCCTACTTTCGCCTGCGACTTCTCGCAACTCTGGATTTCGGGATGCCCTGAGCTGAGGTGTTCAGACCACTCTTCGCTTGAGACTTCCTCGCAAGGCTGACTTCGGAGATGCCCCGCCCCATAGTGCTCGGGCCAGTTGCGCCTAAGACATCCTCGCAACTCTGACCTCGGAGGTGCCCTACCCCAAGCTGGTCCGGCCACTTCCGCATGCGACACCCTCGCAACTCTGCGTCCGGGGATGTCCTAGCTGCGGTGTTCCGGTCACTTTCGCCAGAGCCATCCTCGCAACTTTCGGTTCCGAGGTGCCCTGAGCTGAGGAAATCAGACCACTGTGGCCTGAGACCTTCTCCGAAGTCTGACCTCGGAGAAGCCCTGCCCCAAGGTGGTCCAGCCACTTCCGCTTTGAGACTTTCTCGCAACTCTACGTTCCAGGGCTCCTTCAGCTGCGATGTTCGGGCCACTTTCGCTAGAAACGTTCTCGCAGCTCTGGGTTCCGAGATGCCCTGCCCCATGGTATTCCGCCACTTTCGCTTGAGACATCCTCGCGTCACTGAGTTCCGGTCTGTCCTGAGGTGAGGTGTTCAGGCCGTTTTCGCTTGAGACATCCTCGCAACTCTGAGTTCCGGTATGTCCTGAGAGGAAGTGTTCAAGCCATTTTCGCTTGAGACATCCTCGTACACTGACCTCGGCGATGCATTGTCCCATTGTAATCTGGCAATTTTCGCCTGAGACCCTCGCACCTTTCATCCTTTCATTTGCGAGATGCCCTGAGCAACTGGTCAGGCCACTACCGCCTGAGATACGAATGTGTATGCGAACCCATAGTTGTATACATATATATATATGTATGTACTTACGGGCGTGCACCAGCAAAGCACGTACGATTTGCATATGTATGTTCATACCCTTACACATAAATGTATATGTGCACATGTACGATATATGAACACAGGCAACAATGTAAGTATATTGTATACACCTAAACATGTATACGGAACGTGCATGCACGTGACCGTTTATAGATGCATGCGCGCGTGTACGCACGCACGCATTCCGCTTGCGTGCAAAACTCAGAGGATCGAGGTGCATGGCGCGCAGCGCCAATGCGGTCTTGTATATATATATATATATATATATATATATTTACACATATACTCGTGGGTTTTCAAGACTCTCTTGCAAACGTTGAAGCGAAGTGCACGCGCGCGCGTCGACGCGCGCGATGCCATAATCATTCCCGAACCCTTGGTGTCGCAAGGGTTTCAAAATCGACTGCCCATATATATATATATATATATATATATATATGTATATATAAATATACATACATACCTATATATATGTATGTATACATATATATATATATATATATAGACATCTATACATAACATGGTTTCGCAACGCGGACTTCCACCGAAAAACTAGCGCGCGCGTTTTTGCGAATGCTTCAGAAAAAACCGCCGGCTTGTTTCAACGTTTTCACACCAAGCCACCAAACAGGCTTAGCGCGCGCGTGTCGAAATCGTTCGAACGCCCTTGCGCACGTGCTGGGATGGTACGGCCCGTGTCAAATAACACCATGCGGGCCACTCTCACGCGTCTGCCGTTCGCGCATTTCGGACTCCTTCCAACACCTGCATCACCGACGCGAAGACGCCGTCGTCGTCGCCGGCGCGATCAGCATCGGCGCCGTCACTGGCTGCCCCGTCGTCGCTGCCAGCATCGCCGCCAGCATCGCTACTATCATCATCGCGTCTATCGTTGTCGACGTTGCCATGATACCGCGCCCGCCCAAATCGCCGACCCGCACTGAAGTGCCCGCTGGGATGTGCCGAGCGGTCAGCGCCACCGCGCTCGCGTCGGTCGCGCCAAACTAGCTGGCCGCTGCGCGCGCGAGCATGCGCGGGCCAGCGCGGCCGCAGAGATGCACCAGCCAACACTAAGCACTCACCGCAATCGCTCCCCCATGCGTTTTGCAAACCAAGTTGCGGGTGGGCGGGTGGGATGATTGCGCGAGCAGTGGAGATGACAAGTTCAAGTTCGGCAAGCCACTTGCGCCACATAGTCTGCTCCACCTAGATCACACAAAACGCATTGCACAACATAGATTACACCACATGCCTTGCACACATAGATTTGTTCACCTAGACTGCACAAGAGATGCTGCACAACGTACATGGGAGATTAGATATTGCGCCACGCAAATTGCACACTGTTGGTGGCGCAACAAAGGTTGCACCACACATATTGCCCCGCGTGGGTTGCACAACGATTGCACCACGTACATTGCACCAGGTTCAACGTACCACATTTACTTCACCACATACACGGTTTGTACAACATCGATTGCTAGCGACGCAACGTTCGGGTCGCATGCTGGCTAACACATGTTTGGCATTGTTGTACACTGCTTGGCGTTGCTTGGTAGTGGTTGTCATTGATGTGCATTGCTGTGCATTGCCTCGCGTTGCTTCGCGTTGGTTAACATGTCATTGTTTGCATTGCATTGGTGTGTTTTGCATTCGTTAGTTCCGCGCTGCTATTTATTATGCCAAGGGAGCGCGCGAACATATCAAAAACGGGCAGCCTGCTTGTAAGCTGCGCAATCAGACCGCAGAGTGTCACATGTGAGTTTACGTGGTTATCCGGGTCAAGACCGAAAACAGCCCTGTCAAAACCTCGAGCCCAGGCAGCGCCTTGGCGTTGCTTGACACTGCGCGGATTTATACAGAACCGATGCAAGAACCATGATCAAGGAACCCCGACAACTATGCAAATAGCACACGAAACATCACCAGAGGTGATCACGAAACCTAGCCACGATGCCACGATCCAAGATCCAGGGACCATGGGACCAAAGTACCAACACCTAAGGACCCAAGGAGCCCAAGCAACGCAGCAAGGAACAGATACGGAAGAACCAAGGAACCAAGATTAAGGCAACCAAGGACGCCAGCAAGGAAGCAAGACCAATGAACCAATTAATATTAACCAAGACCAAGTACCCCGAGAAAGCCTGGCCGGCGCACGCCCAGCACCCACTGGTTCTTCAAAGTTTTCCCGTCGCAGCGCGGCAGAGCAGAGGGGATCCGCGCGCGCGTTCGAGCCAGCCGGGGGAGGGCAAATGATTTGCCTGGCGGCACGAGGGGGGAGGGGGCGGAGGGCGGCCGCAGAGCCAAGATAAAGAGGGAGCGTGCTCACTGCGTGAAGGTCTTCGACAGGAGTGGTCGGTGCGGCCAGCCCATGCTAAGCAGACTGGCAGCAGTGGCGGAGCGGCATCGCGGCCACGCCCAGGGGCTGAGGCAGGGGCTGCAGGCGCTGAAGGCGTGAGTAGAGGCAACACGGAAGGAGCAGCGAACGGACCCACGACAGCGAGAGCGGGATCACCCTGGCGTTCGACGCGTAGCCGTGGAACCGTCACGTGTAGGGCTACGGCGCGCGAGGGATGCGGGCTTCGCCAAGGGGCTGCGCCCGCAAGCCATGCAGTAAAATGCCGTCGAGGCGCCAGCCAGAGGCCGAGAGGCAGGGCTGCAGCAACAGAACTGCTCGGCGACTGCTGCTGCGCCACAGGCTGCTGAGCTGCGGCGGCCGAACAGCCGAGGCAGGCCGAGGCGGCCCCCAGCCGACTGGGAGCGCCCGGCGGCGGGGCGGGGGGCGGGGAAGGGCCGGACAGAGAGGAGGAGGAGGAGGAGGAGGAGGAGGAGGAGGAGGAGGAGGAGGAGGAGGAGGAGGAGGAGGAGGAGGAGGAGGAGGGCGGCCGACTGGCCGCCGCGGGCAGCGCAGCCCGGAGAGCCAGGAACGCCCGGCCGCAGGGCCATGGCCAGGCGCGGGCGTCCCACTGCAGAGAGCAGCGGGGCACGCGACCCGGCGGGGTCGGGCAGGCGCCTCGCCCAACTCGCGGCGCAGCCAACGGCCGCCCGGGGGCGGCACCGGCGAGGCGCACGGCTGGCTGACGGGAGGCGGCGGGGGCGGGAGGCGCCTCCAGGAGCGGCGCGGAGGCCGCGCCCGGGGCCCTCCCGGCACCCCCGGCTGGCCAAGGAGAACGCTGCGCCAGGAATGCAGCAACCAGGCCAGTGACCCACGCAACTTATTATGGAACCGCCGCGCCGGATCGGTGCGTTCACTTCTGCGGCAGAACCCACCTGCGGGGGGCGGGCGCTCCAGCCAGGGGGGGGCGTAAAGCGCCCGCCTGGGGGGGGGGAGGGCGCTCCAGCCAGGAACGAGGGGGAGAGTCCACCTGGAGGGGGTGGACACCCCCGCGGGACAGGAGCGGGAGGGCGTGCCACCCGGGGAGGTGGCACGCGGGAAAAGGCACAACGGTGCATGCACGACTGGAGGGGCTGGGACCCTACCTGGGGGGACCATCCCGCCTGCGAGTCGTCGCGGGCGCCCGAAGGCACTGCCAGATTGGGCCCGAAGGCCCTGCGAGTGCCCACCTTGGGAGATGGCCGGGGATGTCTGGGCAGGTGAGTCGCGTCTGAGGCTGCGGTCGGAATGCACCTTTGTCGCAGGCTGGGTGGTAGGGCACCCGCTAGCCGCGGGGAGGCACCCCGCGCGCAGTCCGGGACGCGCAACCCGGCCGCGGGGTGGACTCCAGGGTCTAGCTGCGCCGCAGGCGGGACTGGTCCCCGGCGGGCCAGGAAGGGCCGCTGGCACGCTTGCCTCTCTGGCCTTTCCCCCCCAACCCGCAGGCGTATATGCCGCTCCTGCTGCTGGCGCCTCGCGTCGCCCCTGTGCCGGCGCTGGCAGAGGGTCCGCATTGTCGTAGTAGGAGTCGCACAGGTCAACCAGGAACTGCCTGCAGAAGCCGTCGGAGCCGCCGGGGTTGCAGCGCCCACTGCCCCTTGAAGCCGCGCCGCCCCGCTCGTCGCAGGCCCGATCCCAGCCTCCACAAACATCGCCCCGCAGGTGCCCTCGATGCGGTTGATGAGCTCTGGTCTGGTCTCCAGTTGGCCCTCTCTCGGGCTCCACGGCGGCCTCCAGCGGATGTCGCACCGAAGCGCTCGAGTAGAGGCCGTCGTGCGGGGCGTTCCAGCCGCGCCGGTGGTAGGCGGGGTCGTTCTCCCAGCTGTGGGCGCTCGCGGCCGAGGTGCTGTGCCAGTATGACGAATGTCTCCAAGCGCTGCCGGAGGGTCCGTCCCCGTTGCCACTGCCACCCTGCGCGGTAGCGAACAGCGCGCCAGGTTGGGGCGTCGGGGAGCGCTTGGCCCCCTATCCTCTTCCTGGTCGGTCCGGCTAACCTGGGTGCCGCTCCCCGCGGGGGCGTCGTCGCCGACTGCGCCGTTGGCGGGGCGGCCACCCTGGATGATCCAGGCGAGGTGCGCGCAGCCTGCTCCATCCCAGACCGGGACCCGCTCGCCGCCGACTCTGGCGTAGCATCGCTGCCCTGCGTGGACCTCGCCCGCAGGCCCCGTCACCGAGCCGGGGGGGGCGTCGGGCCAGGCCAGGTCTCGTCAGCCTGTGCGTGCCAGCGCGCGGGGCGAGCGAGCGCCACCGGGCCGTGGCCCGGCCGCACGTCGGCCGCGGTGCCACCGAGCTGCTGCGAGACGCTCGGCCTGCTGGCGGGGACGACACCGAGGCGGTGCTCGTCAGCCACCTTGGCGACCATCCGCTGGTCCAGGTCGTCGCCTGCGACCGCGACGTTCCCTTTAAAGGGTCCTCCCAGGAGCGGGGCCTCGGTCTCCCCGCCGCCGAGCTCCACGGGGTGGACGGAGCTGACGCG